CAACTGGATATGGATCCTTTCTACTTTGTGATCTATCTATTTTCAAAGTCACAATAGAAGCTTCCTTAGCCAACCTTTGAATGGCTTGTTTCCACTATCGTTGATTGCTCTCACACCAATTCCTGCAAATTTTCCACTCAATTTCTTTGGATTCATCTCTGACCAATCAGTATTAACAATTTCACCTCCTTTCACATCCATAGAAATTCCAAACCATTTACAATTACCTGCTTCTTGGCAAAATGCATATAAATGGGGTTGAACATTCTTCTTATCTTGTATTTGATTTTCCGAAATGTATTTCAATAGAAACATTTGACATCCCCAAGCTGTTCCTCCTCTTATTCTCACCGAACTCTTATTACTTGCTGTTTTATTCTCAAACTCTTCAATAATGGCATAACATGAAGCTGCCTTACTGATAATATAATAGTTTCGTCTCAGCAAATTGAACTTGGTATTCCTTCTCTTGAGATACTTATTTGCTTCACTCAATTTCTTATCAGCAAATGCCAATTCTTTCTTGTCCAGAGTTATTACTTGTTCTCCAACATTTGGCAATACTCTCTGATGATGTCCAGCAAAGGAATAGACAACGCTCTTCTTTCCGAAAGCTTTTGTCCACTCAAAATCAGTGCCTTCACAACCTCCACTATAGCAATGAGAGATGCTTGTTGTGGTTTGATCAAAATTAAGGAGAAGTGATGAGTGAGAAGATTGATGTTGCGACATTTTTTTTAATTTATTTGTTTCTTGTAAATAGTCGAACTTTTTGTAAATTAAGAAAAATATTGAGTTTCATCTTTTTGTTGGAACATCAATAATATTGAAAAAAATAATAGATTGGAATGTTTTACAATGTATGTTATATGTTTGCAAAATGTTTTGCATAGGTGCTGCTTTTAAAGCCAAGGCGCTTCACCACCAAATAATATTAAAAAAAAAAGCAACAACAAAGCTTTAAGCTGAAGAGAACAAGAAATAATTAATTAATTGAATATAGAAGAAAATAAAATGGTCAGAAACACATCAAGCAAGAGAAAATCCGCCTCTCAAGATGCCGAACCAACAAGACAACCCAGAAAAATTCAACAACCCTCCGATGATGATATTTCCATCAAATTCAATTCTTATTCATCAAGAATTTTCAACTTTGATATTCTAGCGCTTTTGAACAAACCAATTATTTGCAGTCAGTGGGAAATTTTCTTCAACTATAGAAAGCATCGGGATGAAAAGATCAAGACCATCTTGATGGAGTATGAAATTTCCTTAATGAAGAAAAATTTAAATGATGATGATGAATTCGGAACGAAGGTAGAAACGTTTGGTAAGATGAATATTAAAAACAGTATTCAGTTTAAGAGAAATCAATGTAAGGTATTGACAGAGAGTGAAACTGATGAAATGTATCTGTGTGTAAATTCGGAAGAATTCACAAGTTGTAATGCTGAAATATATGACTATGAAAAGTTACTGTTCGATAGATGGTTAGTCTATAGATGTGATGCCATGAAAACAACAGACTCTGAGAGTGGATACAAAGTGTTCCAAACCAGATCAACCATGATTGGTAATAATATTGATACCAAGTCATTCCATTGGCTTGGTTTTCATGGAGCTTTCAATACGAAGAATAGATTGTACAGTGAATGAAATGAGACTTGATTCTAGAGGAAAACCTAAAAATGAAAGTGTTCTATTGTCAAGTGTAAAGGAGCAAGTCAGAATCTCTACAAATTCCATTATACCGAATCAAATAGCTT